TTAGCTGCCATTTTTGAAAAATATTTTAAAAAATTACTACCAAAGGGCAAAATGGAAGTTGTAGGCAGAATTTTAATTACTATTTAATCCATCATATTTGTCTGACTTTTGAAAGTTCATTTTCTAATAATGATAAAATCAAACCACATCAAATATTTTTATTAATTATCACTGAAATAAATAATCGTGCAACTAACCCAACACTTTCGGTTGTGATATAGAGTCCGACATCATTTTTTTTTTTGATAAAAATCAGAAAAGGAAATCCTGCCCAAAACTTTTCAAATTTGCCAAAAAAATCAAAGTATAATAACAAGCGGCAATTGCGAAAAATTAAAAAAAAAAAAGTTACTCTTTTTAGTTATATTTTGGCGGGATTTCACCTTATTTTTTAGTTACTATTTTAAAATTATTTGGGTTGTCTCTTTATATTTTAATAGATAGATAAAATAAATTCCTAAAACATCTATATATATATAAAAAGAATTACCATTTACTAAAAATAGTAGCAAAAAATTAGGAAATATTTAATGCATACTATTTTTAGAAATTTTTTAAATATATGCATTAATTGTTTCTATTTACATATTTTTAAATAAGATCAAATAACATATGATAAAATAATTACTTAAATAAATATATTAATATATGCAGTATTTTCATTGATGTTTATTATAATAAATTACAAGATTGATTTTCGTGATTTATGTTGATAATATTTTGGTCAAGATAAATATTATTTTAGTAATATTTGTGATACTTTCATTGATATTCATTATAATAAATTACCTGATTGATTTATGTGATCCATTGATAATATTTTGGTCAAGATAATATTACACCATATTTTAAGTTCTAACCATAATATAGTTTTTTTTTTCACAAATATCACTTTTTATCCAAAAATATTTGTGGAAAATCTTAACAGGTTAGGTAGAATTTTTTTTCCAAGTAAACAAAATCAAGTTGGTGAATTAATCTTTGCCAATATATTTGCTTCTTAAGCTTTATTTTGTTAAATATAAAAAGTAAATCGTTCTTCAAATTAATATAATTTACCATTTAAGAGATAATGACCAGATACAATAAATAGTTTTATTAATGGTAAAAATTAAAATTGAAACATATTAAATATTGTAATTTATTTGTATATTATTGGCACCCATGATTATATTTTTTTATTTGATTTATTTCTATAATTAAATTATTGTAAAATATATTTTCATTGTTGAGTATGCTAAATAAACCATAAATCCTTATAATGCGAATTAGAAAAATCTTGATCATAGAGGGGATCGAGGTTTTGGCATTTTCTAAATCAAAGTTGTTTAATTAGTATAGAAAATTAAATTCTAAAAAAACATGTGTATATTTTATAAAATATTTATACACTATTTAATATTAAATTTATTTACATATTTTAAATTGATTACATAAATAAATAATACCAATGTGCATTAAATATTTTTCATTACATAAAATAAAAATAAAAAGAAGACGTACAACTTCTATAACTTTATAAATAATAATGACATTATATGGCATAAAGTGTATAATAAAATAATAATTAAGGAATTATATATATACTAAAATCAAATTTAAATTAGGATAAATGTGTTAGTGAAAATATTAATTATTTTAATATTTTGACTAAAAAATAACGTTGATTAAAAGAGGTGCAAAATATATTATAACCTTATTGTTTATTATACTTAACGTTGATTAAAAGAGATGAAAAATAGATGATAATCCTATTGCTTTATATCCTTAAACGGACAAAGCATGTAAAATAACTCATTTAATATTTCTGTCCCGTGCAACGCACGGGGTACGTACTAGTAGCAAGTAAATAGGAAAGTTCTAAACAATATTTTTTTTTAACTACAATTACAAACAAACGATCCTAAATAGATGGGTCACATGTTTTTTAAAATATTTCCTTAAATAAGAAGTCAAATTATTTAATTAAAAAGTCAAACTTTCTATTTAAGTATTTTTTCAACAACCTTTATATATATATATATATATATATATAGATATAGATGAATAAAATAATATATTTGATGTAGAATAAAATGAATATATATATACCAATTTATATATATTTCTACTACAGTAGATAAAGTCTGCGCTAGAGTAGAGATAAGAGTTTGAGATATTGGATATAAAAAATTTTGATTTTGTTTGGATTATTTTTGTTTGGTTTGGTTAGTTTTGAAAAAGTTGGTATGTTTAGTTGTTAGTGGGTATAATGATTAAAGTTGATTTGATGTAAAATAGGAGAGAGAATATTTGAAGTGATGGTTAGTTAAAATTATGTGAGTGGAGCCTTTAGTGAGAGGATCAATGTAATTGAAGCTTGTGAATAGTGAATTGAAGTGATGTGGTGTGTAAGAATGATTTTGATATTATTTAATTATAATGATAATATCTATACTTATATTAAAAGGAATCTTATTTACTAAATATAGTAGGTAGAAAAGTCAAACTTAATTAATAAACTTCTAATTTTATCAAGTAGTAATTAATGCATTTATAATTTATGCTGACATAACAATCCTTCTTATAAATCTTAACATAAAAAATTTTGTACGTGAATCCTATAAAAAATTCCTTCTTATAAATTTATGTTGAACTTCTAATTTTTAATCCTTCTTATCTTGACATAAAAAGTTCCATAAAATCGGGTGAGCAAAAACAATCAAAATGTATACTTATATAATAAGGTATTCTATTTACAAATTTAGTAGGTTAAAAAGTCAACGTAGTTAATGCATTGTTTTTTCTATCCAGATTTTTATTTAATTATTTTATTTATTTGTTTTATATCCCATAAAATCAGTTTAAGAAAAAAATCTCATAACATCTGATAAGTAAAAAAAAAAAGGACTTAAAATCTTTACTAAAATAAAAAAAGGTTTTATTTATTTGTCTTATTCCATATTAACATCGATTTTGTCAAAACAAATCCCATAAAACTGGTGAAGTCAAAATTTGTACATAAAGTCTATCTATACAAAAAAAGGCAGATTCAAAATTTCTTATTTAATTCATTCTTTTCCTTATCTAATTCCTTCTTATTATCTAATTGTATGGAAATATATTCTGATTTTGTTCAATTCTCTAATTGTATTTGTATTATATCCCTTAAAATCGGTTTAACAAAAAAACCCCATAACATCCAATAAGTAAAAAAATTACGTAAAATCTTTACATATCTAATTGTATAGAAATCAGTTATGATTTTGTTCAAACTGATTTCTGTATATTCAAATTTTTTCTAATAAAAATATTAACAACAATATATATCTACTCTACCCATTATAATATACAAATCTTAAAATATCGAACCATCATCTTCCTCACTATCAACCTCCTGCGAACAAAAAATATCCCCAATCAGTCTTTTGTTCAAAACAATGAATCAAGGATTTGAGTCAATCAAACAAGTTAATAGGTCTAATATACCTATGCTCAAAGTTCGAATTGTGAGAATATTTTTCCAAGACTGGGGAAGCACATACAAATCATATCTCGAGTTGGTTCTGCATGATAAAACTGTAAGCCAAATTATTTGAATTTTTGTTTTAATTTCGAAATTTGAAACTTATATTTTTATTTTTTTTCGTGTATGTATTTAGATATTTTTGTACATGTTTCGTGAAATATATTTTCGATTTTTTTTTTAATTTTATTTTCAGATTAGCAATTTGGTTTATTTATTCCACATATCGTGTATGTATTTAGATATTTAAATTATTTATATTAATTATTGTGTATTGTAAAACTTTTATTGAATATTGCATCTTATAGTATAATAATCCCCAAATAAATATATCTTGTGGCTCGCACATGTCACGTACTATATATATCCAGTATATTTTTCTTTATTCATATATATAATTATAAGGCTGGATAAATGGCCTTAAAATTGTGCACCCCGTACATCGCACGGGCTCTGTACTAGTTGATGATAGTGAGTAGTTAAAAAAGTGGTCGAGTCTAAAATATATTGATTTTTATGTATGAGAATTTAATAACGCATAGACCATAGAGCATAGTGTAAAGCTCCCCGTCTAGTTTTTTTATTTTTTTGGTACAGGGACCTTCCGGTTTCCGGATTCACAGGAGAACCGACTAATCCGGAATCCGGTCTAGTTAGGGATGTAAATGGGTCGGGTTGGGTACGGGTTTTGGTAAACCCGAACCCGACCCACATATAATTTATCCTACCCAAACCCAACCCGTTACCCGACTAGTGATCTTCGGGTTCGGGTTGGGTTTTACCCGGCGGGTTAGTGGGTTTTCGTCGGGTAAACGGGTAACCCGAGTCTTAAATTTAGGTTTTTTCCGACCCATCCCATTTCATATGAAAAAATAAAATAAAATAGTTTCACAATTAATTATAATGTAAGAAATAATTTACTAACTAAGTTTGACAATAAAAAGTATAAAAAATATATTATTTATGGAATAAATAATAAGATATGATTATTTTTTTTATAATCGATTTAATATTATAACATTAAACTTAAATATTTATTTTTTTATTATACAATTAACAAAAAATGATAATAAAATTATAAAAAATAAAATTAATTTAACCCTTAATCAAAATTATAATAAATAATCTAATTTTTAAAAATACACATGACTACTTTTATATTTATTATAAGTTATAAATATATATATATATATATATATATATATATATATATATATATATATATGTATATGTATGTATATATGATTCAATGGTTCGGGTAAACGGGTAGGGTAATCGGATTGGATAATGGGTTTGCCTACTATACCCGCACCCGACCCGGGGTTCGGATAGTATAATTCTACCCTAACCCGACCTAAAACCCAATCATCTCGGGTTTATTCGACCCAAACCTGACCCTATGGGTTAGTCTAGTTTCAAATAACGCATAGACCATAGAGCATAGTGTAAAGCTCCCCGTCTAGTTTCCCCTGCTTGGAGCTTGGAATCCCCGTCAATGGCCTCCACCCGCATTCTCCAATGCTCCAGTCGCCATCTTCGTCATTCATTTATTCCCGGTTGCCGTATTGCTTCCCGGAAAAACCCCTATTTTCCTTGTGCGTGTCGATTTTCCTTCCTGTCGCTCAATTCCCAAAACCACTCCTCCAAATTCCAATACAACCGGCCTTTCAACTCTCCCCCGGTTTCTGGTACGGCCAGATTATCCATACCCGGACATTTCGCCCACCAATTTTTTTTCGGCCCGTACGACGCCTCCTTCCGCTGGAATTTTGCTTCAGGCCCAAATGCCAACGGTTTAGCCGATGGGATCGCCGTCGATGACGGAGGGCCCGAGATCGCGGTGGTGATACTGGGATGGCTGGGGGCGAAGCCCAAGCACCTTAGAAGGTATGTGGAGCTCTACAACGCTAAGGGTATTCATGCTGTTACTTTTGTGGCCTCGGTGATGGATGTGCTGTCGTTTGATTTGGGCAAAAAACTAGAGGCGAGGGTTCGGCAGCTGGCTGATGAGCTCGTTTCTTGGCTGTCGAGTGAGAGTGGTCGCGATCGGTGTTTGATCTTCCACACGTTTAGCAATACCGGCTGGCTAGCGTAGGTTTGATTCTTTAGTTTTAGTTCTGCTTTTCCTAAAGTTATCATCGTGCTCAGTTTGCTAACTGCTGGTTTCATATATGGATTACTGTGTCAGGTGAATTATGGTAGGCTTGTGACTGTGATGTGTTTGGTCTGACATTTTCTTTTGGGTGGGTGTTTCTTGTGGGCAGGTATGGTGCCATTCTTGATACTTTGAAAAACAGGCAAGATTTGTTGGAGAAGATTAAAGGATGTGTTGTGGACTCAGGAGGGGACCCCAACATTGATCCTAAGGTTTGTGCTGAAATTGCTTGATGTTTATTAGTCGCTATCATAAATCTTGTCAGCAGTGGTTTAATTCAATAGATCATGATTGAAAATGGTGGTATGATTGTAACTACTTGTTCAATGACAAAATGCAGTTGGCCGATTTTGTTCGTAGTCGTTTATTATATGAATGTGGTGTAACTTGTGGTGAAGCACCTCAAGCTTTCTGTATTCTACTGCCATTTACAATTTTACACTTATGAATAACTTTTTGTTTTTGGCTTCAGCTTCATGGGAAAAAACTGATAATTAATTTTTTTACGTTTCTCGTGTGATTTTTACTTTGAATTTGGTTTAGTTTTTATTCAGCATTTTATTGATGGTAGTGGGGAATTGCATAAGTACTGACTATGTTACGTGTTTCCTAAGTGGAAAATGTGATGGGAATTATATTGCTTATTCGAGATGAATAGCAAAAAAATGATTTGGACACCCTTCTTTACCTTTGGCTTCGTTAGATATATACGCCATTCAGAGTAGATGATTATGTATTGCGTGTTAGATATATATATGCTGTTCAGAATATGATGAGTCTGGTTTGCATATCATAAAAAATGATAAATTTGAAATTTTTAAATATGACTTCTATGCTTTTACTTGTGAATTTCACCATTCTACTGTGGGCTTGATCATATTATATGAACGTATGCTTTATGTAGTTTCCCTTTCTATTTTTATGGATGTGCTCAGTACCCACTTGACTGCTCAGGTTTGGGCCGCTGGATTTACCACAGCCCTGCTAAAAAAAAGTAGTTCTGCTACTTACATCTCGACCGAGCCAGGACAAGGAAATCATTTAAGACATGGAACAAACGGATCAAAAATACTAGACAAGGAACCTTTTCTGATTGAGAGCTTGATGTTATTCGCGTTCGAGAAGCTCTTTTCCTATCTTCTCAATTTACCTGACATAAATCAGTATGTATTCGCATGCTATTAAATTTTCTGTTCTAGTTCCCGTTGCATGAGACTATGATGAGCCCGGTTAGAACTTATGGTAGCCTGCTTTTCTTTCTTTTCTTTTTCTTTCTCCTTCTTTTTTCCCTTTTAGGGGAAAAGTAAAATAGATGAAATTTGAAGTTCAATTTGCTATCTCTTCATTTAACAGGAGGTTGACAAAGATAATATCAGGGCTTTTAAAGAATCAGCCTATGTGTCCTCAGCTTTATCTGTATAGTACAGGAGATAAAGTCATTCCATTTCAAGCAGTAGAATCATTTATCGAGGAGCAAAAGAGGTCAGGGAAACGAGTCTCATCATTCAATTTTGGCTCGTCTCCTCATGTGGACCATTATCGGACTTTTCCTGATCTGTATGCTGCGCAGCTCGATAGTTTCTTGAAGGAATGTTTGGCGATGGAAGGGAAGTTGTAGAGACAAAGATGTTTTGTTCCAATAGTAATTTGCTTTGTATATCGACAAGCATTCATAAATCATATGCTGTGCTCATGGTGTATTCAGGTTTTCCAAGATTTCTTGGCGATTTTAGAAGGAAGAAAAAAAAAAAACAAAAAAACAAATCACTGGAAGTTTGGCTATGCGTGTTGTCAATTAATGAATTTAATAAATGTGCAAAAATGATATTCAGATGAATCATCCAACTTCTGGTAGTCAGACAAATTAAAACGAATGGAAAGGGATTTCGCGAAACAGAGCCATCCTTTTATACTACTTTTTTGAAGCCAAAGATGAAATATAGCCATGTTTTTAGAAAAAATAAAATCTAGCTATTTTGGTAGGCAAAAGTACTATTGTACCCTTAATAATGTTAACATATTAAAA